TAACACAGATCGGTTCAACCAGTGGGGATGTGGGAGAATCTGAGTGTTTGAAGTGGTTAGATAAGCAGCCGAAAGGGTCAGTGCTGTTTGTCTCTTTTGGTAGTGGTGGGACTTTGTCTCGTGCTCAATTAACTGAATTGTCCTTGGGTTTGGAAATGAGTGGCCGAAGATTTCTTTGGGTTGTTAGGAGCCCACACGATGAGGCTACCAATGCCACATACTTTGGCAACCAAAGTGCTGATGACCCTTTAGCCTTTTTGCCAGAAGGGTTCTTGGACAGGACCAAAGGGGTTGGTCTCGTGGTGCCTTCTTGGGCTCCTCAGATTCAAGTCTTAAGCCATAGTTCAACTGGAGGGTTCTTGACTCATTGCGGGTGGAACTCAATCTTGGAAAGTATAGCCAACGGTGTGCCCTTAATTGCATGGCCGCTCTATGCAGAACAAAAAATGAATTCAGTATTGCTAGCAGATGGTTTGAAGGTTGCATTGAGGGTGAAAGTGAATGAGAATGGGCTGGTGATGAAAGAAGATATTGCAAATTATGCAAGGAGCATTTTTGAAGGAGAAGAAGGGAAATCGATAAAGAGCAAGATGAATGAACTAAAAAGTGCTGCCACAAGGGCTTTGAGCGAAGATGGGTCATCTACAAAGTCGCTAGCAGAGGTGGCCAGAATCTGGAAGGACCATAAAAAGTAAAAGGTAATGCTTTGCATTAGTCTCAAAGCCATCAGGTATTTTACTGGATGATGCAATCCGTTTTATGATTAATCTACCTACGTTGAATTGTTTATTAGTAATATTATGATTTAGTTAACTATTCATTCAAAATACATTACTTTTCAGCTATGCAACCAGTCATTTGCCCTGAGATTTCCAGTTGCAAAAACTAGAGGCGTAATCAAGTGCTCAAGTATTAAATCCTGTCAACGTGCTTTGCATTTGCCATGTTCCTCGAGGAGATTTGGGGCAGTTCATAATTATGACAAGCACTATGTTGGTTTGGGGATCTCTACGATTGTCATCCTAAATTATATGTTTTTTGTCTAAATATTCCTCTGAACTTCTGGTTTTGTTTTTAACTTTAGTCTCTTGACCTTTCATCTATTTGATTAAGGTCTTTGATAATTTAAGGGTGTAATTGAAAAAAACTTAATGAATCTCGAGAGGATATTGCAAACGTTCTAAACTCTCAGTTTATCACAAGAATAAATTGGAAGTAATGAAAGAAAGTTGGAGGGTTAAAAGTGGAAATGACTTGAAACTTCAAGGGTGTGATTAATAGAATTCACAATTTGGGCAAAAAATTGACATAGCCAAAAAATCCTAGGGATGGTGTTCTTTTTTTAGTTTTCCCCCTTATTATTCCCCATTATAGATGTCTCGAACCATTATTCTTTGAGTTTATCATAACTGAATCCATGTAATCTATTAAAATTAATTAATAAATTCTAGTAGTATAAAAAATAATTAAATAGTCATTTGATTGGTGTTGATTATCCTCAATTCATTTTCTTTTCTTTTCCTTCTTTTTCGTAAAAATGTATTCTATCCTAACTAAACTTCTCATCTTATTTGTTTCTCTTCTCCTCTTCTTTTCTATTTGTCAAGAAAACAAACATTAAGTTGAGAGAGTGAGTAAATTATCAAACGGATTTAAATATATAGGAATTAATATATAATTGTGAAATCATGAGATTTAATTAATTAATTGGTTGATTTTCTTAAACAATAGTGATTAAGCTAGAGTTTGCTCACACTAAACTTCCCTTGCACAAAAAGACCCAAAAGCCAGAGAATTAAAAAGATCGTAAGATAATGGGAGTGAATTATTTTCTTTTTTGTTTTTTGAGAATTAGCGGGTGAATGATTAAAAATTTTAAAGTATCCTTGGTGTTTTCTGTATGGTCAAAAAGAACATGTACAAGCTGTCTAGATCAGTACTTTTTCAGGCATTAATTGTCCATGATGTCAACTTTACCCCGTGACAGAAGTGTATTTACCTTTTTAACACGTATCCTACAATATTTTTAAAATGATAAATGTAATAAAATTATTTAAAAAATAACACAGCAATTTTAATATGATTATAATTTTAAATATTAGGATTATAAGAACCATCAAATAGAGTTGTTTACCCAATAAATCCAAAATAAAATTAATTAACACAAACAAAATCAACATAAAATTCTATAAGAATTTAATAATGAAAATATAAAAAATATAAAATGAGATAAATTGATATGAAATATGAAATATGAAAAAAAAATAGAGGGAAAAAATGTGTTATTATTGTTAGAGTATAATATAAATTATATCCCGAGACTTTATCTAAAAATTTAAATTATTAGGTTGAGATTGTTTTTAAACATGGTATTTGAATCTTACCATTTTTATTTATTTGATAAAAATCAAGCACAATGTAATGTAGGTCTGTGCAAGTTTTAAATCTAAAATTTTTTCACTTGAGGGGATGTGTTATAGAATAATATTAAATCATATCCTAAAATCTCACCTAAAAACTTAAATTATTAGGTTGAGATGGTTATTTAACAATTAATGAATGAGAACTGAAAAAAAAATTATTATTTTAAACTCACTATTGATATTTGTTTGGAGAATCTGAGTTTTTTAAATTTATTATAAATTTAGAAAAATATTAAAAACTAATTTTTTAATTCTTGTTATTGATATTAAAAACTAATTTTTTAATTCTTGATATTGTATATTTGAATAGGAGTTCCATTCTTCTTTTTCTTTTTCCTGCAATTTTCTAAAGAAATTCAAAGCATTGTTATGCTTTTGAATGATCATTTAATTGATTTGTCATCGCATTGTACTAGAACATGTAATAAAAATCAATTTAAACATTATATATAACGTTTTAGCAAGAGAAAGTGCGGAAAAACAAAAGTTGTGTCTGAGATTTGAAACCATTCACATCTTTATTCTTACTAGGTTAATCCATTAACCTAATATATTCCTATAATTTACTTTCGGGGTTAATCTACTAACCTAATATGCTGACTTATAACTCGAGGACCCGAAGCCTTGGACATGCATAACAATTTTGCTGAAGACTGTAATAATTTTGATATAATTTATTCTTCTCCAAGACTTATTCGGGATATGTTTGGGATGGTGTGTATGATAGAAGAGTTAGGATTAAAAAGATAAAATAGCATGAGACAATTCCATGCACTGTGTATGTTGTATATGTTTTATACATGCATGTCCTAGTATATTATTACTTATTCTAATTGTTTTTCATTGAAATTAACTGTAAAAAAAATACATAAAGAATTATTTAATTATAAAAAAACACATAAAATAAATTATAATTTATTTTTATTAAACATTTTTCAGTATTGATTTAATAGTATGATAAAATATGAATAAATTCATAAAAATACATAAAAAGCTCCACTGTGTTTTAATGTACGCATAATAAAAAAAAACTCACAATAACAATATATATATAGTTGGATTTCTTTAACAAAAATCATCTCTCATTCCTCTCCTTTCTTTCTATTTTCCTTCTTTTTATAATTTTTTTATTCAATCAGAACCAAAGATTAAAAGAAAAAAAACACTATACAAAATCAATGACCAGAATCCATAACAAGGACATGGCTTGGAAAATCGAAAAACTTATGAGGGCAGAGTAGAAAAATGATCACAAACTGTTTCTGTCCCGTGAGTCCTCTACAAAAGGCGATGCACAAATTTGACTCAATTCTGTCCAACGACAAGGGAGAAAAAAAAGGTTTCGTTTTTCTCTTTGCAAAAAAATAATAATAATAATAATAATATTTTTGTTTTTTTACACATGTCTTTCATGCTGTGAGCCAACTCATACCCAACCATGGCTACAGGGCTTATTTAAAATGGCTGCATATTGTTTTTTAAATGTTTTTTATTTAAAAATATATTAAAAAAATATTTTATTTTATTTTTAAAATTAGAACATTAAAAATATTTAAAAAAATAAAAAAAAATAAAAAACATGATTAGATATGGTGCACAAATAAGAGGCAAAAAAGGGGGTAACCGCTTACCAGTCTTCTATTTTCTTTGGGAATATATTGGGCCTTGCTTAAATTACCCATTTTTATAAAATCTGGCACACTTTACTACCCAAGCCTGCAATCTACTGGACCTAAAAACCTCTCCAAAACCAAGAGCAGCCATGCCTCGGTAACCTCCGATTTCAAGGAATTCGCGCATCTTGTGTGTTGAGACATGGAGAAATCAGTGGCAACTCTAGATAAAGGCACTACATGCACTTCATGGAACTACTGTGGCCAAAGACTAGCAACTGGTTCTTTTAATGGGTTTCTCTCAATCTTCGACTCACCTGACCCTGCTTCCTCTTCCTTCACCGCCACCTCCAACATTAGGGTTAGTAAGTTCAGTCCTTTTTGTGTCAAAATTCGCTAATGGGTTTCTATTTTTAGCTTAAATTTATGTTTTTATTCTTGTTTAGATACATGAAGGTGGGATTGTCAAAATTGTTTGGATCCCACCAGAGTATGGGGATGCAGTGGCCTGTATTTGTGGAGATGGGAGTCTGTCTTTGTGGGAGGAGATTGCTGAAGGTACTATTTGTTTGTTAAAAATAAAGGTTTTTATGGTTTCTTAACATTAAAGGATTTTTACTTTAAAATGCAGATTGAGATTGATTTTGTTTTCGAGCTTGATTGTGTTTGTTGGAATTGTTTTCTGTTTCATTAAGATGATGTACATTGTTATTGTTGTTTTTTATTTACGTATAATTGTGTAGATGGACTACCTCTTCAATGGAAGCTTTGCAAGATTTTTCATAGCAAGGGAAGTAAAGTGTTAGATGCTCAATTCGGAGTAATCCGGACAAGTTTGAAAATGGTGAGCTCTTGAAACTCTCGGAGCTATGGATGCAACTGAATCACCATAAAGCATTGAAGTAGTAGATTTTATAGTAAGCCTGCATTCCTTATGCGTGTTAAAGGTGTTTTTCAAAACAGGCCAAGTCCTTTTTAACAAACAATTGTGGCACATCAAGCTCTTTTCGCTAGAAAGCATATTGAAATATCCACTGATCTAATTATGGTCATCATGTAACAGAAATATATTGCTTTGATTAAGCAAAGAAGGTATGGTTTTCATTTCTGTTGGAAGGAAATAGTCATCTTAGATGTTAGGGGTGGATACAAGTGCACGCACACACGCCTTCAGCTTCTGCTTCAATAGCATTTGGGAAATGTGTGACATTGTTGTATCAAGTTTCCTGCCCAAAATTTAATATACCTGTTCAGTTTCAATTTATAATTATGTGTATATAGTTTACAGGTTGTGGCATATTCAGATGGTCATGTGAAAGTCTATGAGCTTTTGAATCCTTTCGAGTTGAAGAATTGGCAGCTTCAGGTATTCTGTTTTATATATGAATTCTCAATGATACACAAACTGCTTAAAAAGGTGTAACTTCTTTCTTTCTTTCCCTTTCTCTTCATTTTCTTTTGAGCAGGCTGAAATTCAGAACGTGATTGATTCAGTTTCAACATTTGGGAAGGCTTCGTGCTTTTCTGCTTCTATTTCTTGGAATCCACAACGGAATGAAAGCCAGGAACCAAGCTTTGTTCTGGGTTTCAACTCAGATACACCTCAACTGAACAGTTCTAAGGTTGGTGTATCATGCATCTGATGGAAGCTATATTCTGTTCATTTCATGCCGGTGTTGATTGAAACATGTTAATAAAATTTAAGAATGTCACTTTCCACACAATAAAAACAAAAATATTTGTGAATCACAACTCAATTGATGCCTGTTACTAAAGGTAATATTAGTGCAGGCAAGATTACTTTCATCATATGCTAGAAAATTTTTCCTTTCTGTATGTTGCTGATTAATTTCCAAAATGATTAAAAAATCAGCTGATGAACTGTTTTATTGGTCAAGCTAATTGGATGCTATATTTCCACAGGTGTGGGTTTTTGATCAGGCCCATCATCGATGGCTTCCAGTTGCTGAGTTAGCATTGTCCTTGGACAAAAGCGATCAGGTTTTTGCAGTTGCATGGGCACCTAACATTGGCCGGTAAGGGTTTGGTACTTGATTAGTGAAATTGAGTTTCCATTTTATGTGGACAAATGATAGGAATCCAAATTGTTTTATGCACTTTGCTTCAAGATAAAATCTGAA